CCAGGAGGCGGAGAAGGGGGCCCTGCCCCAGGCTGGCACCGGGCGTGTCCAGGCACAATCTTGAGGGAGCCGTCCGAGTAGTAGTAGCCAACAGGATCCCAGAGTTTCTCATCAGTCTCGGGGCCAGGCCGGAAGGGGGGGCTGGTGGGCTCCTTGGGCAGCTCCAGAGGATATACCAGGGTTCTCTCTGCTGCCTTGGCTCCTTTCTCCAGCTCTTCCCGCAGCCGCCGGCGCAGTGACAAGACGAGCAGCAGCAACACCAGGCACATGGCCCCCAAGACCACCACAGCCAGCCACACCAGGCCCAGGTTTTCCAGGGGTGCCCGGGCCTCCAGGGTCACCGACGGGCCCGCCACTACAGCTACCAGGTAGCCTTCGGCAGCCAGCCGTGCCCCCTGCTCCTCTGAAAAGCAGTGGTAGGCCCCAGCATGGCGGGGCTGGGCAGCCATCACGACCAGGGCCTGTAGTCGGGCATCGTAGAGGAAAGAGCCAGGCTGTTCCGTGGGCAGGTCTCGGCCCCCAAAGGTCCAGCGGGCATGGGCGAGGTTGGAAGAGAGGCGGCAGGGCAGCACCAGGTCTGTGCCCGCCACCACCGTGATGTTTTTGGGCGTGAGCCTGACTGCAGCGGCAGGATGAAAGGGAGCAGTTAGTGCTGGAGACCCAGGACCAAGGGGAGGTGCAGACACTCCAGCTCCCACCCAGGGCCCATCCCACTGGGAGGGGGACAAAAGACAGCTCACCTTTCTTACTGCCTCGGAAGTTACAGATACCAGAGGTGTCTGAGACTGCTACATGCTGGATCAGCAGAGAACTGGTGGGGGAAGCAGGGTGTGTCAGCATTCTCGCTCCAACCACCTGCCCTCCCTTCCTAAGGAGCAGAGCCCCGCTCACCCTGAGTGGCCATCGACAGCCACACAGCGGCTGGTGTTGATGTTCCAGGCGCAATAGGGGTCCCGAGCGAGGACACAGTCTGCACAAGAACGGTACTTCACACAGTCGGCTAGGGGCAGCTGAACCAGCTGTGACCGGGAGCCTGCAAACAGCAGCTTCTACAAAAGATGGAGGCACATGAGGGTCAGCCAGACCAGGACACCGCCTGGGCAGAGCTCACACTCCTGTGGGGGAGCACAAAGCAAAAAGGGCCAAAGGAAGGAGACTTGAGGACACAGAGGGCTTACTTCAAGCCAGATGCCATCCTAAGCACCTTACAGCAGTGACCTGATTAGAAAGAGCAGCAGCTCTGTGAGGCTGAGTATAATCACACTCGCACACACAGCTCCACTGCGGTATAAATAGTACGGGAAGTACGTTTTCCGTAAGGCTCGCCAGCCCTCACAGTAGCACCAGCATAGCATAAGGTGTTTCCCTCTGTTTGCACAGTGATTGCCAATCTGTGTTTCTTCAACCACAGACTTTTTACCTTTGTTCTATGTTCTGGGGAACGGTTTGAGCCCCAACAGTTGGTAAAGCGCAAGCCTGTAAAAGTTCAGGGTACCAAGGACAGGCTACAAGAGAGTAAGACACCAGCAGCACCTCAGGGAGGTGGGAAGGCGCGGCGCTCAGGACAGGGTGACAGGGCTGGCGGGAAGCCAACACCATGAATGAGGGCACCACGAATGAGCAGTCTGAGGCGTGGCCAACAGTGCACCACAGGAGAGGACGGGCAGCATGCAGCAAAAGTCTGGCATGGCCCTGAGGGGGCTCTGAAGGTGTAGCTGCCCAGACTAGGTTCTGGGAACACGGCCCACAAGAACCCAGCAATCCAAGGCCTATGGAGCGTGGGTACGTCAGCACTCTGATTGCTCGGAACTTGCCCCTAGCTAAGCCGGTATGCTCGGTGCCTCCTGGGCCTTGTACAGCCAAACAGGCTAGGGTATGCTGGGTATCCCCTCACCCTGTATAGCCAAGCAGCAGACTAGGGAAGGTAGAAGACAGTGGGTGGGCCCTAATCATTACCTTGCTCCGGGACAGGACCAGGCTTTCCACTGGCTCCTGGTCAAACACCTGCAGCTCCTCAATCAGGTGGACCCAGGGCCCCAGGCTCACAGCCTTGAGCAGCCAGCCATCTCCTGTAGGGGTTGGGCGAGGGCAGGTGTAAGCCAGAGGGCACAAGGGCCCCACCCAGCCACTGGCAGCCAGGCCTGCACGTGCCTACCTGTGCCGATGAACAGCACTGTATAGGTGGCTCCGTCAAGCCCTGTGACACGGTCAGCCACCAGGTGGGTGAAGTTGGTGTCCTTCTTCACGAGCAGGGGCCGGCCCCAGCGAGGCCTCACCTGTTCCTCCATTAGTGGGTGCTTCTTGATGAAATTGAGGGTATTGTCAGGCAGCTCCAGAGAACTGGTGTAGCCATGGCGACGGTGCCAGTTGTTGATGCACTAGAGGGCAGGGCAGGGAAAGAACTGTCAGCAGGTTGGAATGGTGCTGAGGTTGAGGCCAGCAGTGTCCTCCCCGGGGGACTCACCGAGCCAGGCCGCGGGCTGGGTACAGGGTCAGTGTAGAGGCCCCACTTCTGGGATTGCTCACGGTACTCCTTGTAGGGACCCTCGAACACCCTCTGGATCTCTTCCAACTGGTACTCACAGACTGCTGACAGGTCCACATCGCCCCTGTCA